TTCTTATTTTGACTTTCTACAAATTTGTTTACACATTTCCTTGTTTTAATTTTCTACACACCCTATGCATTTTTTGACTTTCTTTATTTTAACGTTAATTTTGATTTTCTACACATAACAATTCACAACAGATGCAGATATTGTGTTGGATCCAGAAACGCAAGATTAATTTTAATTTTCAAAATTAACCATAAAATAAACTTTAGCTGTTGGGATGGATCTAGAAACATGTAATTTTCAAAAAATTTTGCTAGATATTTCGCTTTTTTTTATATCCTGACTTAGAGGGAGCTGGTCGTGCCAATCATTATCATTCCAGTACTGGCGTATCTTGTTCTATGATAGCCCGAAATTTACCTCTAGCGGGACTACACATTATCAGCTCATTATTTATTGTACAGGAAATGCTGCTGACATTTGAGCACCAACGAAGCGCGTAGTTATACAAAATTTATGACGTTTCGAACTGAAAACAAAAAACGTGGTTCTGCTCCCCGGCCGGGAATCGAACCCGGGTCTCGCACGTGACAGGCGCGGATACTCACCACTATACTACCGAGGACACATAGTTTTGGCGGGAAAATGGCTAATTCCGAAGCTAGGGAAGCTAGGGAACTGAAACTTTTAGAGAATGTTCCCAGCTCATCTACAACTTAAATTCATCAATTTTAGCCCTTGGGCATGAATTGTGGTTGCCACGTACGGCCCCGTGAAAGTTTTTGGCGGAAAAATGGCTAACTCTGAAGCCAGGAAAACTGGGGGATGAAATTTTTAGGGGATGTTCTCTGTCCAAGTACAGTATAGATAACTAACTTTCCGAAATCCAGGACCAATCTGTCACATATTTCTAGCTACTGAGTTTTCGAACGATTTCATTTTAGCACGAACACTGCAAAAACGCATGATCGCACGAGCCCACCTGGTACGCATCGTCAATGATTCGTTTGTGTATGGGTGTGTATGTGTGTGAGTATGTATTTATAAATGTATGTGTGTGTGTCTAGTAAATTTAACACCAGATACACGAAAGCTAGGAAAATTAAAAAAAAAAAAATAATAGCTTCCAAAGCTACATGCAGTCTCTTCCCAATGTG